TTTTCTCTTAATTGTGAAAGTCGATTTACTTTGACCAAAGTGCTCAAATTAAACTAAGTTGTTTAAAAAAAACATGCAACGCAGTTAGTACAGTTACAAAAACACCCATAACTTCGTGGCTATTAACATTACCTTGATGAAAATTTATACCCAATTAGTTTTAAACCCGCCGAACAATTTCCCCTTAATTGTGAAGGTCGATTAGCTTTGACAAAAGTGCTCAAATTATTCTGTGAAGCTTTACTTTATTACTGGAATACTTCTTATGATGCAGGATTAATAGCTTATTTGCTAGATTCTCCCTATAAAGAATTGGATCTTTTGTTAAAAAGAAAGGATAATTCAAAAACTTCGTAATGAGTTTAATGAATCTAATAATATACTAACACTACCCTTACACACAATAGAACTATCAAATCTAACCATGCCTTCTTTAGATGCAGAATCATCATTGCAATCATAAAAAGATTATTATCAACAGCATTAACAATTGATGAAATTAGTAATTATTTAGCAATACCAATTGCGTTAGAAGCAGAAAATCCATTAGATTGGTGGTGACTTTAAGCAAAAATTTTCCAAAACTATCACAAATTGCCCGCAAATATCTTGGAATACCAGCAATATCTGTATCAAGTGAAAATTATTTTCAAATGCTACAGACTCCGCTAAAAGTCTCCGAACACTTTTTGTCTCAATATAAAACTTAAAATTTTTAAATTTTATTAAAAAACATTTAATAATATATTTATTAAAGTATGATATGCTACACACTTGGTACTAAATAATTAGTACTTGGTCGGGCTTCCATTTGCTTCAATTACAGCCTATTTTTCTGCGGCATACTATCGACCAAATTTTCGATAGTTTGTATTAGAATTTGTTTCTAAGCCTTTATAACATGTCGATCAAGTTAAGCAAGGTTGGAAGTCAAATTTTTTCTTTCACAGATGCTTTTCTTGACTTCGGCCTATAGATTTTCAATAGAGTTGAGATCTGGACTTTGAGCAGGACATGAAAGTACGCGCAGACCATTTTCTGCATGAAACTTCTTTGCAAGTTTCATTTTGTGAGGGCGCATTATCCTCTTAGAATACACTGTCACAGTTTGGAAATGCACGTCTCATAGTTGGTATGACACGCTTGCGAAGAATAGTGACATGTGTAGCACTAGTGATTGTTTCAGATAATGGAACAATTGGTCCTAAGCCTTGTCTCAAAAAGTACCCCAAAACATTCGGCTAGGGCTATGTTTCACTATGGCGGAAACATTAGAAATGTTTCATTTTTCATGAGGTTCACGCCATACTCGACTACAATGGCTTTGTTGGAATTGTAAAAAGGTAGATTCGTCACTACACATGACCTTCGACTAATCATCCTTTGTCTAACTTTGGTATTCCAAACATCATACAAGACGTGCCTCAACATTTGCTGGTATGATTAAAGGCTTTCGTCATGCAAAACAATTGTTTAACCCAGCTGCACGAAGACTTTGACCAATTGTGCGAGTTGAAACATCTTGGCTGGTCTTTTTTTGCCAGAGTTGTTGAACTTCTGCATTGCACAAGCGATGATTTTTTTCTTTATCATTAGTGATAATTCGCTTAAGCTGGCTTCGCTTCGAATCTTTAATTAAGGGTGATCGACCAGAACGAGGCTTCGGATTAATGGTTCCGGTGTCATCCATTCTTTTTAAAGTGTCTAAAACTGTTGACTTTCCACAACCGATAGTCGCGGTAATAGTTCGGTAACTATCGCCACGTTGATGGCAAAAAATTATACCACCGCGTTGTTTTGCTGTAAATTCACTAGACATTTTCGTTGTTTTCGGAAGATAAAATTTATTTTGATTATAAATCAGAATAAGCAAACAGAACACGACTTTATTTGGTTTATTCAAGTAAACAAGATCCGGAACATTACATGAACGCAGTATTATACAGTCACATGATGTAATTGGTATGAAATACCCCCGAAAGATGGCGTCTGGAGACTTTTGGCAGGGTCTGTAGTAATTTAATTACAGTGAAAAGAACGTGTTTGGATACAAATTTGGTGGATTAGATATTATTTTTGAAACGAAATATTCGTTCAATAGAAGTTTTTGCAAAATAATGGGACGAAACTGAAGAAATTTTATTAGATTAAAATTTTACAATAATTTTTCTTGTTTAAATCTAATGAAATTAATGATTTTATCAAATATTAAAAACTTAAATAAATAAATGCCAAATAATAATAAAGAATTATATGACGCACAGGTCAAATGATAACATATCGGTCAGATATCATATGCCCGATATCTGTATTGGCACCTAATATGTCAATGATTTGTATTGCCGATTTCTCACCTATGTTTTGATATCTCAATGATATTTTTATGATAATTATATAAACATTTTATATATAAATATTAATTTTATTATGTATTATACAGTATATATTGATCATTACATTATACTCTATTTCTAAACTATTCTAGCTACTTATTAATTGTTTAGAACATTGCTCCAGTTGGTTCGATTCCAACAAACAACTATCTATTTAAATGTATAATCAAAGTCAGATTATAAAAAAACGAAAGGGAACATTAATAGATGTTCCCAATTAAAGAAACATAAAGAAAATAGAAGTTTCGTGAAACTTACCATTCCAAGTGTCCTAAATGTCCCAAACCCGATTCCTACAAAACAAAATGAAAGAGAACGTTAGTAACGTTCCCAATTAAAAGAAACAGAAGTTTCGTAACGAAACATACCGTTCCAAATGTTTCCAAACCTCAAAAATCCCCAGTTCCTACAAAGAAAAAGAAAGGGAACGTTAGTTACGTTCCTAATTAAAAAAACAATAAAGAAACGAAAGCTTCGCAACAAAACTTACCATTCCAAAATATTCCAAACCCAAAAACACCCAGTTCTAACAAAACAAATGAAAGAAACATTACTAACATTTCCTGAAAGTAAAAAGTAAAAAAAAAGAATGAACTTACCACAGTTTGTTCACCTGGTCGTCCGGTTTGTCCGTTCATTTAGGTTCTGACCCTAAAAAAAATGTTTTAAAAAAATGTGGCTTAGATTTGATTATATAAGCTGATCCGATCCATAGTAGATTATTATATCCGCCGAATTCGATATCCTAAAAGAAGAAAAAAAGAGGTGATGTGTATGTCGAAGACGAGGTTATTGAACGGATGAAAGCACCATTTGTAAATATTTTTTTTTTTAAAAATCTCATTTTATTTTTTGACAATATTATAGATTTTCATTAATGATATAATTTTAGTAATGTTCCAGAAAGAAGAAATTCCTCTAAAGAAATAAGTAAATAAAAAAAAAAAAAAACAAAGCAATAAAACAAATAAAGAAACAAATTTTACCTTTACTTACCTTTCGAAATTTATTCAACTTTAATAAAAAAGAAAGAAGGATTATCTGTTAAAATCAGATTAGAATGAATCTGAATAGATCTGAAATTAAGGATAAATCCAGATGGATCCTAAATAAAGGATGAATCTGTTAATCCGGATTATCCATTCGAATTGGCTGTAAGGATCCAGATTGGATCCAGATGGCTCTTTATAAATAGGATCAGACCACTACTCTCAAGGTAAGTGCCTTATTATTGGCAGTAACGGCGGCTTGCAGACCAATAATCAAATTATTAACAGCATTCCAGTTAGGTTCTTCAAAGGCTCCAGTTAATGCCTGAATGATACCAGTTAAAGCTTGAATATCAGCTTGGTTAGCGGCGGCTATGTTAAGATTGTCTTATTGTGTAAATAATAAACCAAGATGATTATTGTCGAGTTGTTTCCAAAAGTCATCTTGGAGAAATACTAATTCAAGATGATTGTCGCTAAGTAGATCCCAGAAATTGTCTTTAGAATTTTGTCGAACAGTAGATGATGACCTAATGCTTAATATTGTTTCACTAACTTGATAAATTTCTTCCAAGGGATCTAAGCGAAACTTCTCCGTAAGTATATAGATGTTGTAAAGATCCTGATGAAGCTCGTAGTATGGTTTCAGTTCAGATTCAAAGTGAATACTAAAAATTAAAAATGCAATTTTTTCCAAATATGCTGCGGATTCTCTGAATTAATCAATCTCCTGAAATATCGTTGTGAATTTCTAGTGTATTCAATGGCACTTGGGTATTCAATAGTAAACCAGGTCCAAAATCAATTAAATTTCTCAATGGTTTCAAAGAGAGGATAACGACGAATGCAAGAAATATGGGTGTAGTCTACGAAGATTTACTACTCCTTGTTGATCGTGTAGCTGTATAAGATAGAAGTAGTTGTCAAAATTAACCTTAAAAAGGGAAAATAATGTTGATTTCTGGCAGAAAGCACCACTTGTCACCTCCTAAATTCGTAAGAGGCGATTTATATTTATTAGGTTTATTGGGTTTAATATAGTACACAATGTAGTATAGCGAAAATATGTATGTAAACAAGAATTTAAATAAAGTTTTTATTGAGATAATACAAGGAAATAAATTTATTAAATAAAAATGAAAAATAAACTAAATGCAACTATTACTGCCTCTGCCGGCGCTCTGTAATAGGCCTCAAGAGAAAAGAAGACTATCTAATTCTATCTAAAAAGCAAAACGAAAAACCCTTCCTTTTATAATAATTCTCTTCCCATGGCTTAGTTATAGAATTCTTGGCAGGATTAACAATTATTGCGGCTTGACTGACGATAATGCTGATTGATCGTTTCGTTATGTCAAAACGGTCATTTTGACATATATAATCCATCGTATCGAGGTATCCTGAATCACCGAAAAGTCCGAAAACTTAATTCCAATTGATATGCCAGAATTATCAGCAAATTGATCGTCAGGACTGCGGAAATCCAATTTTAGGCGCAGTCAAT